ATCATAAAAACAAGACCAAAAAACAAAAAATAAACAATCATAAAGCCAATAAAAATCGAATTTTAATTGCAAGAGTATTGCAACTGGGTATTAGTAGTGAGTGAGGTGGATGGGAGGGGTGGGGTTACTGGGAGATCACTTGCAACAGCAGCAGTAGCGGCAGCCGCGCAAAGTTGCCACTGGCAAGAAAACCCGTTTGCAAAACTTAAACTGGCTTGGCCAAAATAAGACAAGCAGAAGCAACAACGGCTGCGGCTTGAAAACGACACAAGAACTTTTGCAGTTGGGATGTGCACAGCTGCGCCATACCCTGTACGCACAGCATATGAGGTTGGTTGCCGGGCGCCAACATAGTTTTGGCAATCTGCTCGGGAGAGTCAGGAAGGTAGCTACAAATAGCCTGCTCACCTGTCTGATTTATTCTCTCCAAGAAACATACTTTGCCTGGTGTTTATGATGCTTATGAGTGAGAACTCTCTTTTCGGACGATAGCAGACATCCTGCCTTCCTCTAGAACGCATTCCGGCAGACTACCCAACAGTAAGACTGAGAAACAAGCACTCGGATACGAGGAACACTCATCTATAATATCATATAATCATAGCTCACTTATTAGCGAGAGCCACAATTAAAAGAAGAATAAAATGCTTACCAATGTTTACCTAATATATAAATATGCTATAAATGAATTCCCCTCAGATCTTTTAACACTTTTCAACGAACTCATCACCAAATTCGCTTTGTCCTTCGACTTTCTTGGACAGCTCCCCCGCCTGCTCCAGAAATGCCACTGCCTTCGTCAAATTAATTTTCTAATTTATCCAGATTATATAAATTTTCTCAAAATTGTAATTTTGATTTTATACAGCCCATATACCAAGATACCCTGTAGCCAGTTTTCGGAAAAGCTAAACCTGCTCCGAACTCGTTTGGTAGCATTTGGCCACATAAGAAATACATTTTTTTCTTTTTGCTTTTTTTTCTTTTCTTTTTTCTTTTTTTTTTTTTTTGGTGGCGCGGGGGGCGTCATCATGATTTGCACTACAAAACAAAATTTAAGGAGCAGCTCCGCCAAAGCGCGATCCCAGCTTCCAACTAGCCAGGCTAACTGCCACCGTCCCCCGACCCGCCCCCCTCCTCTTACTTCCCTTCCTGCCACTTGTGAGCTCAGCTCAGAGTGCTTGCCTCTTTTTCGCGCTGCATTTTTTGCGTAGGTTGTTTTTTTTTTAATTTTAGGTTGGAGTTTTTTGTTTTTGTTTTACTCACTCGCTGGCTTGCCGAGTGCAGCGAACTGGTAGCCAGCGCAGGCAGAGATTAATGACGACTCAGCGTGATGGAAGGGGTTACGGGGGCAGGGTGGAAGTTATGGTCATGTCTGGCTTAGAAGAGTTAGCTCAGCCAAGAGGCAGCAGTCAGCGGAGACGACAACAGAGACAAGAGACAACGGACAGCGTTTCGTGTTTGTAGCCACTAAATCTTGAGATATCTGCCTCTGTGCCCCAAAAAGAAGCAGCAACAGAAAACAAACGGCAGACGGAACTGGATACGAACGCAGAGAACGCAAGATGCCAGTTTGTAGTTTAGGTCAGAAAATATGCCAGAGTAAGAGAGAGGCATAGAAAGAGAGAGAGAGAGAGAGAGAGAGATTGAGATGCAGAAGCAGACGGCTCTCAGATGATGATAGCAGGAAACAACGATAGCCACATCAACTTTATATATATATATATATACATCTATATAAATGTTCAGTTATCCATATATATAATGTTAAATTAAAATCTATGAGTAGGGCTTAAAATATTATATCTTCGACTATTTTATAGAGTCTTTTCATTGCATGTTATATTATTTAGTCAATCTGCAACCTTTTATCTAATAAATTGCTCACCAATAATTTTATTTAGTTTTCTGGATCATGCTTCAATTTCAACAACTTAAGAACTGTCTAGTGTTGCAAAGCATTCAAAGTTGTTGATCTCATTTACAAAATGAAGCAGACACATCAATTTGCCAAACAAATATGCTGAGTTATTTTGTGCGAGCATCAATTCAATGAGGTATTTTGTATGCGCATCAATAAGACTCAATGATCATTAACATATTTCATGTTGAATGCAACACAAATGCTGTGAAAAACACTTCGAGAACTCTTAATTAGCTCATCAAAAGATTTTTTTTGCCAAAAAATTAAATTCATGTTATTGTCAATAATGTTGATGGGTTTTTTTTTCTTTCTTTTTTTTTTTTTGTATGGCATGCAGCAATAAGAAGCAGGTGACGTGTGGCAATTATGTGATTAACACTCGGAAATATCAACGTTGTTGAAATATTTGTGAGCGATTGGGGGAAAAAACATACAAGAAAAAAAAAAAATCGACGAAAAAGATGCGCTTAAATATAAATTTTAATGAACGTGAAATTGTTTTCATTGCTGGGCAAATGTTTCATTAGTTCCTATGAATAAAGATGATGATGAATCCAAAAAGATACAAATGTATCTAGTGTATCTGTGGCGTGGCAAAAGACGATTGCTGCGCTAAAACTAGCCAGCTCATTGTCGTGTTTTGTTGTGCTCGGTGTGTTAATTAATGTGCCACGCCCAGCCCCTCCCACGAAACACCCAAAACACCCAAATATGTGTGTGTGTGTGTGTGTGTGTGTTGCGATGTGGTTTTGATTAATCGAAAATTAGGTGCACTGCTGCATTTCGATACATTGCCAGCCACAAACAATTGAGCGCCGCTTGTGGTCTGCAGCTGTATCAGTATCAGCATCAGCATCAGCATCAGCATTTATTGCGGTTCATTTTCAGGTGTCGCACACACACACACACACACATGCAAACACATACACAGCTACTTTGGCTGTCGGGCAGCGGCTTCACGCCACGTTTTGTAATTCAATTTTTGTTCATTTTCTGCCATCTCATAAATTTAATTTGAAATGAAAATCCACAAGATATGCCCGCCAGCTACTCGCTGGGCAATGTATCTTCCAGATACATATTTGTGCTTTTTTTTTTCTTTTATTTTCTTGGGGTTTTTTTGTTTTTGTTTTTTTTTTTTTTGTCGACCACAATAACGGATTACATTTGAAATTGTTTGGCATTGGCGTGCGTCTTTGCCTCTTGTCTGGCCTCAAGTACTCAAATACCCCCACTCCCTCCCCCCAGACCGCCTGTCGATGATGTTGCCCCCTCCCGCCGCCCTTCTCCTGTATATATATATATGTGTGTATTTCTTTTTTCAATATTACACGATGACTTTGAATATTTGTGTTGCTGTTGTTGTTACTATTGTTGTTGTTGTTGTTGTTGTTATTCGTGGTGTACATCATGGGTGGGATTTTGTGATTAGAGAGATACAAGCATCAGATACACAGCAACAACCACAACAACAGCAGCAACAACTTGCAGGCTGGCTGGCAGACAGACCCAAAGCCAAGAGCAGCTCAGCGAGCAAGTGTAACAAATATGTTGAGCATTGGAATTAGATAGATGCCAACTTGTGATATAGATACAGATACAACTAAAAAGATACAGATGCAGATACACACACAAATACATACAGATACAGATACAGCTAACTATAGATACAGCTAGAGTAATAGGTATAGATACAGGTACAGCTAAGAGATACACAAGCAAAAAGAGCTGCAAAAACCCCTAAAGTTATACAGATCCAGCTAATACTAGCTACAGATACAAATAAGTTATAGTTAAGCTATGCTATGCAGTTCCAGCTATAGATACATCCACAACTAGCTATGGATCCTACTTTGAAAGCAGATACAGATACAAATATAGTTATATATCTACAGTCCCAGCTATATGTATATATATTCATACAGATATATCTACTTCCACAACTATTGCTGTAGAAACAGATACAGTTAGAGATACAAATAGAGTTGCACACTTATTTTGATTGTTTGCAAACTGAACTCGCATGGATGGGTAAAGGGGGCTTTTGGATTGATGGGGGAGGTGGAAGGTGGACACACACAAAACACACATACACAATGTGCACACAGCAAAATTGATGCGTCCATTTTGTTGGGTTTTATTATTGGCCCCGCCCTCTATGGGGTACAGGTCGGTTCGGGTTGGAGTTGAGCCAAAAGATGATTTCGAGTTGAGCTGCGTTTGAGTCGATACTTAAAAATCGATGCTCGAAATTATTTCACAATGCTGCTTTCCGAAAAATGGCCGGAAATAAGTGTCTGTTTCCGTGTGTGTGTGTGTGTGTGTTTAGCTACGTATGGGTAGTCTGTACACATTGCACATAAGGTATTCCAATCCTTTGGAATTTCCAGTTGAACGAGCAACATAAATTGACAAGTTCGCTTGATTTTTATGTGTGTGTTTGACATTAATCGATAACCGCAAGCTAAGCATCCAAGCATATGGAGTCTTTATTATTTTCTCTTGCGTGTATTTGAAACGCATCATTTGTGCAACAATTGAAGTCTATAATTGGGCATCAACTCAAAGGTTGTAATTCTTCTAATTCTGCTTTCTTGGAGTGTTTAAAGTGTTAAATACTTCAACTAGAGCATTTTAAATATGATTTGTTTAATAACTTTTAAGTAAGCCGGTTCAGCTTTTATTCACTATTATACAATTTATAACAAATATTTATATGTATGTTCTGTAAATATTATTTTTATTATATTAACAAGAAAACAAAATACGTGTTAACTGTTTTCCACTGTTTGTCTGGCTGATACAGAGGTATAAACATTTAAGTTTATAGTTGATGTGATTTTGCAAACTGAATTTAACATTCAAGTTAATATTCGAAATTTTCTAAAACGTGAAAGGAAGCAACGAATGAAACTTAAACTGAAACTGAAACTGACAGCGAAACCGCAACTGAAACGAGAAAGCGTAAATGGTATTTGTTTGTGTGGTCATCGAAAGAACTATATTTAATGCTCATCATATTATTACTTTTATCTAATCCTTTTCTCACAGGACGAGGCGTCAGTCAATATCAAAAATTAATCCAAAGCAAACACTTTGTGAGTGTGTTTTTTAAGCACTTGTCGCAAATCAAATATGTGAAGCAACGGCAACAACAAAATCAACAAGCGAGCGAGCAAGAGCGAGTGTTTAAGCTATCAAAAAAAAGAGATAGAACGAGAGAGAGAGAGAGAGAGAGAGAGTGAGAGAAATTGTGACAGAGACAGAGACCGTTTAAAGGTAAATGAATATTTGCATTCAATTAAAAGTGCTGTCGGCGGCAGCGATGCCAGCAGCAGCAGCAGCAGCAGCAGCTCCCTCCACCAGTGCCTGCCCCCTGGACAGCAAGGAGCACCAGCAGCAGCAGGAGTAGCGCCTGTTTGGGGGCAAGTACGGAGAGAGAGAGAGCGAGAGAGAGCCGGAGAGAAAGTGAGGGAGTGAGAGAGAGAGAGAGAGAGAGTGGTTGCCAAACATCCCGAACTGATAACGCATAATTATTGCAAACCGAACTTGGCGCGTTGATTAATTGAAATGCAAACAAAATGCAACGTGGCCAATAATAATTAATAATAATTACACTGAAATTATCATACACATATTTATGTGAATTGCAAATAAAGTGGCAAACAAACAGCGAGCACAGCAAATTGTAAAACGTGTGTAAAACGCGACGTGTGTGTGAAGTGTGTGCAGCAGTGTGTTGCGTGGAGTGTGTTGCGTGGAGTGGAGTGTAAAGAAAAACACGATAAGCCGATAGCACTTAAAATACGAAGCAACATCATCAGCAGCAGCAAACGAAACGAAACGAAACGAAACCAAAATGACTATGAAATCGATGAAGTACTCCGATTGTGATACCATTATGGATGGCTATAATCCGGTGCCGCCTCCATTGCCGCGGCGAGTGCCGCCTGTGCGTAATATTTATGCCGAGCCCTTTGCCCACGAGCCGAACCATTCCAGCAGGTAAATATGCATATCGATAACAATAGCGATAACATACGGTTCGATTGCTTAATCGTTGACAGTTGTCATTTTCATTTTCATTTTAACTGTATAATTTCAACTTTAATTAAAGCCATCATTAAATTTAAACCGTCCTGACTGTCTATCGATTCTTATCGATTGTTTTTGCAAGCAACAGTCAAGTTGTTGACAAGCTTTAAACTGCCTTTTACTTATATCAAAAACGAAGGTGGATTTATTGTAAATCTGACTTCGTCGACCCACTAAATGATATACATTTAGATCATACATTCCATCTGTCCATTTATTTAGCTAACTAAATAATCAAAGTCAAATAGAAGAGAGGTATTGCCAAATAGTTGTTGGCTTACTATTATAATAGCTCGATCAATTAGCTAGTCGATAGAAATCGACTGATGCATTTCCATAAGGACTTTACAACGATTGCAGCTGCATTTAACATGTAAATCTAAAACCTATTTTAAGTTTATCAGCTTGGTCTTGGTATTATCTTTCACAACATCAACGTTCGTTGTGCTTATGGTTCACAAAAGCCCACAAAGGATATAACCCATAACCCAAATACAGTCAAACACCAACCAGTAACAACCAGCACCACCCCATTGCTGACTGCTGACTGCTGAGTTGCCAAGTTGCATATTAAAAGCGAGCGAGTATCTTGTCGAGTGTACAATATGCATTTTGATGCGCTAAGAGAGATCTAGAGAGAGAGAGAGAGAGGGAGAGTGGGTGAGTGGGTGGGAATATCCCCATCTGTATAAAGTATAAATGTGGGTAGACGCGAAGTTCGTGTGTCGCATATGGATATTGTGCAAATATCCTTTTGCCATAAAACAGGCTACAACAACTACAATGCCAAATAGCCTCAGTCCGCAGTGAATGCGAAAAAAGTGTACTGGGTTGGGTTACACTGTGAGAAAAACTGTATATGCTTCATTTCAACATAGATGCATTTTTGTACTTAAACAATAAACTATTTCTACTTGCTAGAAGATATTTAAATTAATACTCACAAAAGAAAAGAAAAAAATAATTTGTTGTTTGAATGTAGAATTGCAAATATGTAGAACTGCAAAGATACACTTCTACATTTTTATTTTATTCGTGAAAAAAACTGGTTATAGAATAATTTTTGGGGCTTAAGGATGAAGTGCAATCGTTGATAATTGTTCTTTTTTTTTCCAAGCAAACATCTTAAATTTTACTAAAAAAAAAAAACTAAATCTTTAGAATAAGTATTTTCTTTGAGTGTAGATATGTAGATAGCAAAGTGTTTGATAGAAGCAGCTCTCAGGCTCAGAGCGATGAAGCGAGGCAATGGCCAAGTGGTAACCAGCAGTCAGCCAACTGGTTATAAAAGGAGGTGGTCGTGGGGGCAGTGGTGGGGGTGTTTGGGAAGGGTTTCAGAATTGGATGTTTGTTGCTGCTGTGGTAAAAATTGCGGCGCAATATGTTTGGCTGTCAGTTTCATGCATTTCATATCGAAAAGCATTCGTACTTTTACTTGAGTGAGTTTTATGAGCAACGAGCCAAAACAGCTGAGTGCCTGCAGTGGGGAGAGTGGGGGCCACAACAATAACAACGACTCACTGGGTACATCTATGATGATGCTACACTGGCTACAATGTATACCGTGTATGTGTATGTGTGTGTGTGTGTGTGTGTGTGTGTGAGAAAGAGATAGAGAGGGCGAGGTAGAGCGAGTGAGACAGATTGAGATACACTTCAGACGCAGACAGCAAACATTGCCATGCATAGTTTTTTTTTCTTTTTTTTGGGTGTGGAGAACTCTTGCAAACTGGGTTAGAATACATATTTTTTTAGTTGTTGTGCTGGCATTTTTTTTTTTTTTTTGGGTGTTATATTAAATGAAAAGTGCAATTGCTTTTTATTGCACGACAACCAATATGAGCGAGGGCACAAGCATATCCCTAACAAATTGAAGATGTAATTTTGCCCAAAAATAGATAAAATCTTTGACCAGCTGCTTAAGCACCTATCAATGTGTGTGTGTGTGTGTGTGTGTGAATCATAAGTAATGTAAAATGCCTAGTTTGGTTTTAGTTGAGAATAACAATTTGCCAGCATAAATGAAGATTATTTATATATCTATATATATATATATGTTTATATATTAATATTTATTATGTTTGCTAAATTAGTTGGTAGTTCAATTGTGCAATCTTTGTGTAATTGCAAACAAAGGTTAAGCTATTATCGTATACCCTGTAAATATGAGGCATACGAATACGAATTGAAGTTATCATTTAATCATTGTGCAAGAATTTTACCACTCAAAAATTAAATGTATATATATACACGTAGTATATATATATTAATATTCATCAACATTTGGGATTAGCCATGTTAATTAAATTAAATTAAATTAAATAGTCATAAATCGAACTTAAGCTTAGATAAGTATACAAAAACAATTAAGGGAAACAATTTGAGCTCGTTTTAAATGGGTATTACGTAGTCGGCATCGTTTGAGAGTCAAATTTAAGTTTTATGACAATGAATTTCTTATGAGACAATTAAAGCAATTCAATTAATATTAATGTGATTTCAAATTTTCCAATTTGATGTTGAATAAATTAGAATACTGTATTTACGGCCGAGTAACTTAAACTATTTTGCAACTGTAGTAACAATTGAAACAACATTGTGCAACCAATTACTAATAATATTTATTTTATCCTTCTCTCTCCCTCTCTCTTCCCACAGGTAAGTTATGCTTCTGGTTATGCAAATCACAAATTAACGAAGGGCGCTGGTAAGAAACGAATCAAATTTGCAGTTGCGCAACTTTTTCATTAAATACTTACATTTGAGTCAGACCAGCAAGTAGCAAATATAACGCTTATCGGGAGTGCACGACTCGTAGATACTTTGTATTCTCACAAGATAGAAAGTGAGCAAAAAATAACAACTCTGGAAGAACATATTTATTGTCAAAACATACGCAGATACCAAGCTCATATCTGGCATATTGTGGCTGGCATTCATTTGTATTATGGGCATATGCATTTGTCGTTATTTACAGCTCAAATTGCTGCAATGAGCTTCAAAGACATAGAAGTCCTCAACCCAACAGGAGCTGAGGCTGATGGAGGAGCTATAGGCTCAGAGGGGGGCAAAATATATCGAATGGGTCGCAGCACAGGTACCCCAATTATAATAATAAATATTCAATATTTTTACAGGGTATATTCCCACAACAAAATTTAAGAGTCCTCAAAGGACAGCTTTTTTATTCTCAGTCGGAAAACTTTTACGGAGCATTTGAAAGTCAGTCGGATTGCAACTCTGGCACTGGGAAATGTGAAATGGGAAATGGGAAATGGGGGAAAAGCCGTCAAAATGTTCCACTCGGTATATGAACAAACATTTAATAATTCAAGTAGCCCAGCGGGCGGACAACGAACACCCCTAATGACCTACTTCACAACTCCACCACCACCAACAACAACAACAACAACAATAACAACAACAATAACAACAACAACAACAACAGCAGCAGCAACAACAACAGCAACAATAATATACATAAGTAATTTCTGTGGGTGGATCCCCCTTCGAGAAGTGGCTTCTTGGGTCAGGTGGTTAGCAGGTGGTGCCGGAGCAAAAGTTGTTTGCTTTCACATTCGAAGAGCTATGGGCTTGGGTTTTGGGTTTAGTTTAGTTTAGTTTAGTTCGAGTTTAGTTTACTTGCCAGAAGTTTCGACTTCTGTTTGGGTTCGGCTTCGGCTTCGACTTCCGGTTTCCTGTTGAACAGCAACAACAACAACAACAGCAGCAACAACAGCAACAAGAATCCCAAAACTTCAAGTGCATTTGCGCTCAAATCAAACCCAGTGTGGGAGCGGAGAGGAAGAAGCAGCACATGAAATTATAACCGGGTGAAAATAAAACTGCATTGCAAAATATGCAAAATATGGCGGGAAGCGGACGGAAAGCAGAGCGGAGCCAACGGGGCAACAGAGGGGAGCATCTCAGTAGGAGTTTGTATGTTTTTCATTTTTTTTTCTTTTTCATTTTTTTTTTGCCACAAAGTTTGTGTTGTGAAATTTTGCATGGCACATGCAGCAATTTCTACTCAGTTTTGAGTGCGCATTTCCACTGATAAAATTCCTGCACTTTGGCCCCCTCCCCACACACTGCTGCTCGATATGTGGCATGACCTCTTGACCTAGTCGCTCAAGCCGAGAGGAAGTAAAGAAATGAAAAAATGAAAAAAGTAGTAAAATAAAATGCCAACAACGGACAATGAGGCACCTCGCCTCGTCCCTCTCTTTCTGCGCTTGGCACTCGAAAGAGAGCAGCGCCAGAAGTTACCTCCTCCTCTTTGATCCAGTCCATCCTTTGGCTAGCAATCAACATACCTGCAAAGTGCAGCCAGAGAATTGACATCGAAAGGGACTTTTGAAAGCGGACTGTAGCCTAAGCAGTTATCATCACCAAAATGCCAAATCCCACTGGCTGTAACTCCTCCTCCTACACACACACACGCACACAACCAGTCAGCTCATCAGCAACAGTATGATTGAAATGCTGAGCTTGATAAAATGTTGGCCAATCATACATAATACATATATATTCAATATATATGTCTACATTATATATATATATATATATATGTAGTTCAAGCAAACATCAGCACTTTGTTTAGGCGGGAGTGGGTGTTGGGAGGGGGGCGGTTGTTGCGTGTGCAACATTTGTATCGGACAGTTGGCAACTAATTTGTTTTGGGAGTGGCAGCAGCAGGCAACAAAGCACAAAGGTCAACAAATTGAATAAAAATTACAAAGCAGGACTACTTAGACCAAACTCCACCAAACAAAAACAGAAACAAAACAAAAAAAAAAAAAGGGAGCGGGGTGTGGATGACTTAGCCTAGAGAGAGAGAGAGAGAGTGAGAGTGTGTGTGTACAGCAGGAAGAGTACCTCCATCAAACTTAATAAAAGCTGTTTCAGAA